ACCCAATATTTCAATAACCCTCGGTTTCAATATTGCTCAATTTCAATATTCCTCTACACCAACACCCCTGTATTTCAATAATCCTATATTTCAATAATCCTAGGTTTCAATATTCCACAGCCCCGCATTCCTCTACACCAACACCCCTATATTTCAATAATCCTATGTTTCAATAATCCTAGGTTTCAATATTGCTCAATTTCAATATTCCTCCACACCAACACCCCTATATTTCAACACCCCGACACCCCAACCCCGCGACTTAACGCCAACAACCCCCGTACCCCCCCCCGACAACCAAAAACCCCAAAGCCACGGATTTCCCCCCGAATTCCCGGGGTGGGGGAAGAAGCCTCACCACGAACTTCTCCCCGCTCTGCTCCACGTGTTTGTAGGTGGGGATGGAGATGGGCACCGCCTGCTTCTCGCTGTAGTCGTAGAAGGGCGGCCCCAGCGGCTCCTCGGGCGGCTCCAGGCTCTCGGCCTCGTGCGGCGGCACCGACAGCACCGTCAGCACCAGCTCCTTCTCGCCGGCGCGGATCAGATCCACCACCTGCTTGTGGGTGGCTCCTTCCACGTTCACCCCGTTCCTAAAGGGAAAAATATCCCAAATTCCCATGGAGCACATCCACCACCTGATTGTGTATGTGTCCTTCCACGTTCACCCCGTTCCTAAAGGGAAAAATATCCCAAATTCCCATGGAGCACATCCACCACCTGCTTGTGTATGTGTCCCTCCATGTTCACCCCATTCCTAAAGGGAATAAATACCAAATTCCCATGGATCAGATCCACCACCTGCTTGTGTGTGTGTCCCTCCACGTTCACCCCGTTCCTGCACGGAAAAATATCCCAAATTCCCATGGAGCACATCCAGCACCTGCTTGTGGGAGGCTCCTTCCACGTTCACCCCGTTCCTGCATGGAAAAATATCCCAAATTCCCATGGAGCACATCCAGCACCTGCTTGTGTATGTGTCCTTCCACGTTCACCCCGTTCCTAAAGGGAAAAATATCCCAAATTCCCATGGAATTCCCATGGAGCACATCCACCACCTGCTTGTTTATGTGTCCTTCCACGTTCACCCCGTTCCTAAAGGGAAAAATATCCCAAATTCCCATGGAATTCCCATGGAGCACATCCATCACCTGCTTGTGTACGTGTCCCTCCACGTTCACCCCGTTCCTAAAGGGAATAAATCCCAAATTGCCATGGAATTCCCATGGAGTGCATCCACCACCTGCTTGTGGGTGGCTCCTTCCACGTTCACCCCGTTCCTAAAGGGAATAAATCCCAAATTCCCATGGAATTCCCATGGATCAGATCCACCACCTGCTTGTGCATGGCTCACTCCACGTTCACCCCGTTCCTAAAGGGAACAAATCCCAAATTCCCATGGAAATGCTGAAGACATTCCCAAGCCACCTCCAGAGAACATCCAGGGAATGTGAGGGGAGCAGGGAAAGGACATCAAGATCCAGGAGATGACACAGATCCAAGGGAAGGATATTGCACCAAAATTCCTCTCTCTCACGCCAAACCCAGCGTTTTAAATGTTCCCCAAAACACTCAAAAATGAGGGAAATTTTCATAAATTTCATCCCAGTGCCCACAAAACCCTCAGCCTGGGAACGCTGCTCGCCCAGTTGGCACATCCAGGTGCAGAATTCCCCCTGCTTCCAGCGCTTTTCCCGCGTGGAAAAATCAAAGAATTGGGAATTTGGGTCAGCTGGGACAGAGCCAAATCCCAGCTGGGATTTCTGCGGGATTCAGGCAGGTCCTGACAGCTCCTCACAGCCCTCGGACTTCCAGAGCTGGCAGCAAAACATTCCTGCAGCTGGGAAATCCCTGGAATTAATCAGTAATTGGACTTCACCGACCCGGAGAGATCCCTGAAAACCAACCCCCACCGCTGGGATTTGAGGGATTTCAGCCCCAAAACAGCTGCAAAGTTTGAGGGTTTTTTGGGGGGGAAAGGCAGACGAGTTTCCACCCAGCAGGAATATCCCCACGGGAAGGTGTTTTTTGGGGCAAAGTTACAATTTTGGGGGTTAAAAAGCAGCAGCTGGAGAACACCAGAGGCAGGAGTGGGAAGGAAGCGTCTCCAGGTTGGAATCCAAGGGGTTTATCCCTAAAATTAGGGGCTCCTTTGCCCTCCTCACACTGAAATCCAAGGGGTTTATCCCTAAAAACTCCCCCTGCCCTTCCTAGGAGTCTCTACGCTGAAATCCAAGGGGTTTATCCCTAAAAATGCCCCCCGGACCTCCCCAGGAGGGACCCCTATGTTGAAATCCAAGGGCTCCCCCTTGAGAGGCTCCCCAAAACCCCTAGAGAGGGTTGGGGGGCTCAGTTTGAGCTCAGGACCCCCCAAATTCTCCTCAAGGGCTGGGGGCTCATGCCCCCACTCATGGCACCCTCAGCAAAGAATCCTCAGCCCCCTCAGGACCCTCCCAAATTCCTAAAAAGGGGGCTGGGGGTCTCACCCCCTGTCATGACACCCTCACCAAGGGAGCATTAGACCCCTCAGGACCCCCCAAATTCCTAAATAGGGGTGGGAGTCTCATGACACTCTCACCAAGGGACCCTCCGGACCCCCAAAAATTCCCACAAAAAGCCGGGGGTCTCACCCCCCCCATGACACCCTCATCAAGGGACCCCCAGCCCCCTCAGAGCTCCCCAAATTCCTAAATAGGGGTGGGGGTCTCATGACACCCTCACCAAAAGATGGTCAGCCCCCTCAGGACCCCCCAAATTCCTAAATAGGGGTGGGGGTCTCATGACACCCTCACCAAAAGATGCTCAGCCCCCTCAGGACCCCCCAAAAGCCCCCAAGGGCTGCGTTTGTCAATGCCCCTCATGACAGCAGAGCCAAAGGCCGCCCCGAGCCCCCTCAGCACCCCGAGAGTGCACCAAGGGCTCGGTGTCCCCTCACCCCGGGACCCCCAGAGCCCCCTCAGAACCTCATCTCCCTCAGAACCTCCTCAGAGCCCCTCAGAGCCCCTCAGAGCCCCCTCAGAACCTCCTCATCTCCCTCAGTACCCCCTCAGAACCTCCTCAGAGCCCTTCAGAGCCCCCTCAGAACCTCCTCATCTCCCTCAGTACCCCCTCAGAACCTCCTCATCTCCCTCAGTACCCCCTCAGAACCTCTCAAAGCCCTTCAGAACCCCCTCAGAGCCTCTCATCCCCCTCAGAGCCCCCTTATCCTCCTCAGAGCCCCCCAACCCCTCAGAGCCCCACTCAGAGCCCCACATCCCTCTCAGAGCTACCTCACCCCCCTTAGAGCCCCCTCAGAGCCCCCTTATCCTCCTCAGAGCCCCTCATCCCCCTTAGAGCCTCCTCAGGACCCTCATCCCCCTCAGAACTCCCTCATCCCCCTCAGAGCCCCCTTATCCTCCTCAGAACTCCCTCATCCCCTTCAGAACCCCCTTATCCCCCTCAGAGCCCCTCATCCCCCTCAGAACCTCTCACAGCCCCTCATCCCCTTCAGAACTCCCTCATCCCCCTCAGAGCCCCTCATCCCCCTCAGAGCCCCTCATCCCCCTCACCGCCCTCAGGACCCCCATCCCCCTGCCCGTGTGTGTGCGGGGCGCGTTCCCGGGGCCAGTGCCGGGGGGCTGCGGGTGGGCGGCCCCCCCGTACTCACACCTCCAGGATGCGATCCCCCTTGCGCACCCCGGCGCGGTCGGCGGCCCCTCCGCCCAGCACGGCGCTGACGTGCTGCAGCGGCGCGTACAGCTCGCCGTTGATGCTGCGCAGCTGCCCGCCTTCGCTCACTTGCCCGCGGACGTTAAAGCCGTAACCGGACTCGGACTTGACGATGCGGACGACGCGGGGCCCGCCCGGGGGTCCCTCCCCGGCTCCGTTCCGCGCCCCCGGCCGCGCTTCGCCCTCCTCGTCCGCCATCTTGGCGTCCGCGCACGGCGCGCGTCACGAGACCGGGCCCGCGCCGGCCGCCGTAGGGACCCGCCCCTCCCGCCCGCGCCGCGGGGCGCGATGGGAAATGGAGTCCGCGGAGCGGCCGAGAGCCGTTAGCGCGCCGCGGGCCGCGGGGGGTGATGGGAAATGGAGTCCGAGAGACGGGGAGGCGGGGAGAGCGCGGCGCATGCGCTGTGAGCGTGGGAACGGGGGTGTTGCCATGGGAACGGGGCTGTTTTCATGGGGGTGTTGCCATGGAAACCGAGGGGCTGTTGACGTGGGAATCAGGGGCTGTTACTGTGGGAATGGGAGGGGCTGTTGCCATGGAAACTGAGGCGCTGTTGCCATGGGAATGGGGGTGTTATTGCTATGGTAATGGGGCTGTTGTCATGGGAACAGAAGGGTGTTGTTGCCATGGTAATGAGGGGCTGTTGCCATGGGAACGGGGCTGTTGTCATGGGGGTGTAGCCATGGAAACCGAGGGGCTGTTACTGCAAGAACGGGGAGGGGGGCGGGGTGGGCAGGGGAATGACTGTTGCCATGGTAATGAGGGGCTGTTGCCATGGTAATGAGGGGCTGTTGCCATGGGAACAGAAGGCTGTTGTTGCCATGGAAATAAGCCAACGTTCCCACGGGAACGGGGTCTGCGTTGCCATGGGAACGAGGGGTTTTCCTGGGAACGGGGTGTGGTGACGTCACGCGCTGTGAACTGACATCAGGAACCTGCGTGGGAACTCACAATGTTCCTCAAACATTATAGAGGTTCCAGGCCTTGGTCAGAAGCTTTTTAGACCCTGGCAGGCAGCTGCAAACAGCTGTGATTTCGAGTTTGAGCCATGGAATGAGTGACCAGCTTTGGAGGTGGAACAAGCAGTCACAAAGGGTTAGATAGTGTAGTAAAAGAAGTCACAAAACAGAGGGGAAATTTTTTTGGTAGTATCCAGGAGGGTTTTCACTTTGTACATGGGGGTCAGAAGTTCTAAGATGGAGGAAAGGGGGCTGAACCCGTCCTTCTTCTTTCTTCTTCCTTACCTCCATGTTCTTGGTGATGCTGGCACTCACAGATTGGTTTAGAGTAGAAAAGCACATTGTAATACAGGTAGTAGGTATTAGGGGAAAACTATAAACATGTAATATGTAATATGTAATATATAATATATAATATAAAAGATAGCAGCAGCCCTGGGTGGGGAGAGAGGAGAAGAAGACACCGGACAGTCAGGGTGTCAGGAGCGTGTGTGTCTCTGCCTGGGGCGCTGACAAACAGGACGCAGCCCGAGAACAAAATCTGTTAGATAATTACCAATAAATCTTCTTCAGAACAAACAAGAGAGTGCGGAGTTTTTCTTTGGTAGCATGGGTTGGAGGAGAGACTTGACCACCACACGAGAACCGAAACCAAATCTGGGGATCTCAAAAACCTGGACTGTTGAGTTTTCTTTCCCAGGGAAAATGGAAAAAGGATGTGCCCAGGGGCCCCTGGCCCTGGGCTCGGCCCTGACTGCAAAGAATCCTTATATCGAAGGATGGAGCCCAGACCGAAGTTGTCCCCACCT